AGGAAACTATCCCCTGAAGAGATGCAAAAGAAGAGGGAATTGGGTATTTGTTATACATGTGATGCAAAGTGGACCACTAAACATCGTTGTCCAGCCAAAATGCTTATATTGATTGGAGAACCTGAGGATTCAGAGGGTGAAGGTGAGGAGGAGATTGTGTGGGGAAAACCAGAAACTGAGGGAGTGAGAGTTGATGTTGCTCTGCATTCACTCTCGGGTCATGATGCTAAATCCTTGGTTTTATTAGCAATTGTCAAGGATAAGAAGGTGCAAGTATTAATCGATTCTGGTAGCTCCCATAATTTCATTAATAAAGTTTTAGCAGAAGAATTACATCTTCCAATGCTGAAAGGTACAAAGATGCGAGTGTTCATGGGAAATGGGGATTTTTTACTTTGTGACAAGAAATGCTCTCAAGTTCCACTATTCATTCAAGGTCAATATTTTTTTACTGATCTTCATGTAGTTGAATTAACTGATTTGAGCATCATTTTGGGCATGCATTGGCTGGTATCCTTGGGACGTGTCACTCACAATTATAGTGACTTATCCATGGAGTTTTCGTGGCAAAATCAAAAGGTATTTTTGAAGGGTATTCCATCACAAAAAGAGTTAGCTACATCAAGCTCTGGAACAACAGTTTGCAATGCCTTATCCTTGCAGGAGACAGCACCAGTAAGCAGAGAGGTATCTCCTGACCTTTTGTTGTTGAAAAATACCATATCTGTTGATTTGTGGAATATTTTGGTCCAGTGTCAAAAGGTATTTGAGATTCCAAGGTCCCTACCCCCTTTTCGTGATATGGAACATGCTATTCATTTGGTAGATGCTTCCCAAACTGTCAAGGTTAAACCTTACCGATATCCTCATCATCAAAAGTCTGAAATAGAAAGGCAGGTTTCTGAGTTACTTGATTTGGGTTGGATCCAACAAAGCCATAGTGTTTTTTCCTCACCCGTATTATTGGTGAAGAAACATGACAATACATGGCGCATGTGCATCGATTATCGAGCCTTAAATGCACTCACAGTGAAGGATGCTTTTCCAATTCCCACCATTGATGAACTACTTGATGAATTATTTGAGGCTACAGTCTTTAGTAAGCTTGATCTACGTTCGGGCTACCATCAAATCAGGATGCGCACTGAAGACATTCCTAAAACAGATTTTAGAACACATGAGGGCCATTATGAATTCAAGGTCATGCCCTTTGGGCTAACAAATGCACCAGCTACATTTCAAGCTGCCATGAATCGGATTTTTAGGCCATTTTTTAGAAAGTTTGTAGTTGTTTTCTTCGATGATGTGCTGATTTATAGCTCTTCATTGGAAGCTCATCTTCATCATCTGACAACAGCTTTACAATGCTTGTTACAAAATGCTTTTTATGTCAAACTTAGCAAATGTGAGTTTGGGGTTCATGAAATAGCTTATTTAGGCCATGTGGTGACTATGGAAGGAGTGAAGGCTGATAAAAAAAAGATAGAGGCTATGGTAGAATGGCCTACACCTCAATCCATGAAACAGTTGCGTGCTTTTCTTGGATTAACGGGTTACTATAGGCGATTTGTTAAGGGTTATGCTTCCTTGGCCCATCCCCTCACTGAGTTGCTCAAGCAAACTAAGTTTTCCTGGAATAATGCAGCTGCTGATGCATTTTTAGCTTTGAAAGAGGCTATGTCTACAACTTCTGTCTTACGATTACCTGACTTTTCCTCTCCTTTTACGGTTGAATCAGATGCTTCTAAGTTAGGTGTGGGAGCTGTGTTGTTACAAGGTGGAAAACCAGTATCCTTCTTCAGCAAAAAGTTTGGTCCCAGAATGGCAGTCTCTTCTGCTTATGTCAGGGAGTTGTATGCTCTTACTGAGGCCATCAAACGATGGAGGCATTATTTGCTAGGTTCCCACTTTGTGATCAAGACTGATCATCAAAGCTTACGGGAGCTTCTAAAACAAACCATCCAAACTGTCGACCAGCAAAGGTACATTTACAAATTGATGGGATATAATTTTACCATTGAATACAAATCTGGTACCTCCAATATTGTAGCTGATTCCTTTTCGAGGCAATTTCCAGATTAGGACACAATGGTTTGTCATGCCTTGGTTTCAGAACCATTACTGGACATTTGGCTAAAAATCAAGAATGATAATCTGGCTGATCCTGAACTTTTAGCAATTCACAAAAGTATGGATGAGGGGGCAGTCCTTCATGGTGATTTTTCAAGAAAGGATGGCATGATATTTCATAAGAATCGTTGTTATTTGGGATCGACTTCCAGTTTAAAGGAACTGTTGATGTCTGAGGCTCATGCCACACCATTAGGTGGCCATGCTGGAGTTCACAGATCCTTCTTGCGTTTATCTGCATCATTTGTGTGGAGTCGTATGCGACAAGATGTCAAGAAGTTTGTCAAAGAATGCATTGTGTGTCAACAGATCAAACATTCTACTCAAGTTCCATTGGGTCTTCTTCAACCCCTGCCTATACCACAAGCTATTTTTGATGATCTCACACTTGATTTTATTACTGCCTTGCCTCCATCTAATGGTTACACCACTATATTGGTAGTTGTGGATAGGTTGTCCAAATATGGCCATTTTGGTCCACTGCCCACATCTTATACAGCAGTCATGGTAGCCAATCTGTTTTGCGAAATGGTGGTAAAACACCATGGTTTTCCAAGATCTCTTGTATCAGATCGTGACCCTATTTTCATGAGCAAATTCTGGCGTCAATTGTTTCAATTGAGTGGTACGAAATTGAATGCCTCATCTGCTTATCATCCTCAATCAGATGGTCAATCTGAAGTGACAAATAGGTACCTGGGACAATATTTGCGTGCTTTTTGTTCAGAGCAGCATAATCGCTGGTACAAATGTTTATGTTGGGCTGAACTTCATTACAACACAGCCATTCATCCGGCTATCAGCATGTCCCCATTCCAGGCAGTTTATGGGAAGGTTCCTACCTTGATTCCACAATACAGCAAGTCAGCAGTTCCAGTGGAGGCGGTTGACATGATGCTACAGCAACGTGATCAGGTGTTGGTTCAGTTGAAGACTCAATTGCACCGAGCTCAGCACCGTATGAAATTGCAGGCTGATAGACATAGGCAGGAGAGAGTTTTTCAGGTGGGGGATCGCGTTTTAATCAAGCTCCAACCTTATAGACAGGTATCGGTTGTGCGGCGTGCCAGTCACAAGTTATCCAAACGGTATTTTGGTCCTTATTGTATTGAAAGAGTGATTAGCCCAGTTGCTTATCGCGTGACTTTACCCCCAGGAAGTTTGATCCATCCCACACATGTCTCTTCCTTGAAGGCATTCCATGGTTCAGCAGCAGTTAATCATGAGCCATTACCAATCTCTAGCAAGGATAATAAACCTCTTCAAGAGCCTGTAGCTATACTTTCTTCCAGACATGTGCAGTAACGTGACAAGGAAGTTCTTCAATTTCTAGTGCAGTGGTCAGCAGCTTTTCCAGAGGATGCATCGTGGGAAAATGCAGAGGATCTTCAACAAGCATATCCTGCTCTCCACCTTGAGGACAAGGTGACTCTTAAAGGAGGGGCAGATGTTACGGGTGAAGTAGCTAGAGAGAAGAGTATCAGAATTAGGGGACACCCATCGTGGGCTGTTGATTATGTAAAATAGATACAAACCCTGTTAGGTACATATAGCAATAATCATACACATATAGCAGTAGTCACACACGTGTAATGAAAGGCACATGGGCCTTGGTAGTTATGACAGGTGGCATAACCAACTCTGTCAATAAATACCTCACAATGGGTATGTGTAATGCATGCAAATTATCAATAAGAATCTGGTGTTCATTCTTAAGGGTACGCGTCCCTTATCAATTTGCTTCAACTTCTTGCTCGTGCTTGCAAAGAATCCGAGTGCCATGTACTACGTTGCAGGTTTGTGGGTTAGGTATGGCCATTTACTCAAGTTAGTCAATTTATAGATTATGTATGTATAACATTTTCTTTTTTGGGTTAAATCTGAGATTTAAAAGAACATTTAAGGAGGTTGTAGCAACAGTTTGATTGTCGTAAAAAAGCTGCTATGATGGAGATGATGAGGCAGAGAGCTGCAGAAGTTGCCAACAATGCTATATGAGAATTTTATACATATAAATATGGGATGTTTTGAAAAAAAATCCTCATGACAGAGGTAGACATTAGCTTCGCCTTTGCTCCAATCAGACATGCATTATTGGGAACCATGCTCTGACCTGCTGCTTGGGGATGGTTTATGTGATCGGAAGGCATAATCTATTACATTCTTTGAGATTCGCTTGTCTATTTCCTTGACATGATTGTCCCCATGAGGATCTTAGAGTGCATAAGGTCTAACTTGGCATAAGGGTTAAGTGTTTGTGTTTGCGGGTGGACTTGGTGATTCTTTGATTTTGTCAGCTTCTCCTATCATGCCTAATGGTTATTTTGTGTGGCAATTGTACTATAGTAGTCCTATTCTTCTAAAATGTCTTACAAGTGTGGGATGAAGGTTAGAGGTTAGTATCAAGTCGTATTTTGTCCTCCTTTTCGCAGTTTGATTTTTTAACAGAAAAGAAATGTAATTTCTTCAATATGTGGTCTGAGATTTTTCAAACTCAAGGGGATGATGTTCCCATTTCACGCCAACCTATTCACAATTGCTTGATTCCTGAGGGTTGTGGTCCATTAATTAATCTTTCCTTCAAACGTCATGACGAGTTTATTATAAGATGAGATTATATTTAAAAGATCCATTCTCCATCTCAGTTTGCTTCTATCAGTATTGGTTCATTTGGTTTGGCTTTGGTTATGTTTTCTGCATTTTCATTTTTTACGTAGGGTGTCAATCTCAAGGCTGGGGTAAGAGCAAAAATACCAAACATACAGCACCCAAGTCCAATGATATCTACCTCAAGCTCCTTATCAAGATCCTTTTTACCTTCCCTCTCTTTATTGTCTTTATCAATATGAATCACCAAATCTATAATCATTTTTCACGACGATGATGATAAATGTGATCCCAGCTCATTATGAGACCTTCACCATTTGATTGGTTTAGGAATTCAATTTGTTTCCACATTTCTCTTAGCCTTAGATAGAATAATTATGCTAGCAAAGATCAATGTTAAATACTGTTCCGGATGGCTTAACCACATCCGAAGCCCAAGGGCCTTGTAACGTAGATGGCCCAGTTTCACAGAGCCCCAAACAGCCTAAGCCCAGTACCCCAAGTTATATACACGTCAGCCCTACCAGTTGGCCCTAGACACATGCCCCAAGGCAGCTCGCCTCCCAAGGTAAGACACCAAAATGTCTTACCTTGGAACCCCCTATGCTCTGCGGATCGCCCAGAGACCATAAGTGGAAACCGCCCTGCTGCCGCATGCTGACATCGCCCAAGAGCAGACCCTGCATCGCTGCAGCGCCAGGCGTGTCAGCTCCTCACAACGAATCCCAAGGAGCGTTGACCTCCAATACGTAAGCCCTAACGGATCAAACTCCTGGACTCCTATAAATACCACCCTTGGGCACAAGGGAAAGAGCTACCTTTTATGTACTGTTATTATGCCCATTTACTTCTCAGTTATACACTTACTATCTGTCTGTCATTAATATCAGCTTCCTACCCCTTGGAATATTACCTCCTAGCCTGGTCTTTACCTTAGCTAGAGGTATAATCCATATAGTGACATTACCCTTAAGGGTACATAGTGGGCTCGTTGTATCGAACGGTACATTGGCGCCGTCTGTGGGAATCTATAAACTTCTATTCTGATTCTCCTACCACTAAATACGCCAAACACTTACCATTTGCAGACCAACATGGTAGTCACAACAAGACGAGCAGAACAAGTGCGAGCAGCCACTCCGGAAGGGCACGTGCGAACTATGCGCTCCAACTCCCCTCCTTCTATACACTAAATCCCAGCTGGGCGAGAAGCGGCAGACGCTCTGCTTCCGGTGCTACAACCTGCAGACCCCCAGGCACCAGCGGAAGGTCTCAGAGCAACATTCCTGAATCATCAAGTTCCAATACAAGAAATGCAAGGAGAAAACTGGTTTGAAAACCAACCCCCACCCCCTGGTGTCTAATTTGGAATGCCTTTCCCAACCACCCGTCGTGTCCAACCGGCGCAAAGTCAACCCGTAGCACTATATAATGACCATAGAGTCCCAACACACCATCCCAGACCTTGTATGAATAATGTGGCCGCTCCTTTCCCCCACCTTTTCCAAATGGTTACCCGTTTCAAGGATATCCTTTCCACCCTCATAACGCGGCCATCCCCCAACCACAGGGATCAGTCGTGAACCTTGGCCAACCCCGTTTTGAAGCCCGCCAAGTCCCAGCTATCTCGTACTCAGTCGAGGCGCCTCAGGAACCTCGCCCTCCACCATACTTACAAGCCCGTAACCCATACTTGCAAACAACCCCTCCGAACACCTCAGGGCGTAACAAACCCCTGACAGATAGCCTACGCCTCACTCCTATTCCCCTTGGCTATAAGGGACCATCCAACATCGTCACGTATGTAGGTGACGCTGATCCGTTCGAATGGATACAAAAGTTTGAAGCGACAATGACCCTTCATGGTGAAACAGACCTCCTGATGTGCAGAACCTTCCCAACGTTCTTGGGCGGAAGAGCGTTAACTTGGTATACCACCTTACCAACGGGCAGTGTAGCATCCTGGGATGACCTGGCAAGGAAATTCCAGACCCATTTTTCCACTAGTCGCCCTGTGCCGAAGTCTGTCCATGCCTTGGAGAAAGTACGCCAGCAATCCGGGGAAACTCTTAGGTCATTTCTCGACCGTTTTGACAAAGAAGCCCTACAGGTACAAGGGCTAGACCCAAAGGTGCAGTTGCACATACTTTTATCTGGATTGCGTGAAGGAGCGTTCGCCTACGAGCTTGCTCGTCATGAGATTTTGGATCTTGAAGAAGTCAAGTGTAAAGCTCAAGAGTTTATGCGAATCAAAGAATACAAAGGAAGTCGAACAAGCGACAGTCACCGCCAAGGAAACAGAGAGTTGAAGAATAGTGACCATGCTGAGGAAAGAATCGCAAACCCTCCAAGTATGTCAGTCGCCAACAAGGGCGAGACATGATTGGACGTCATACACATAGCGTCCTTCAGACCGAGTACAAGGAGGACCGCAAAGACAGCCCAAGGCGTCAGGGGCAATCGCGGGGAAATGTTGTATACTGCAAATTCCACCGCAGTAACGGACATAGTACTGAGGAGTGCAGACATCTGAAGGATGAAATCGATGAGATCATTAACAGTAGAGGTCAAAGAAACACCGGAAGCAGCTCCCGAATTCCAGGAAACAACAGGCGGTATCGAGAGCGTAGTTGGTCACCAGATCGAAGAAGGAGCACCCAGCCCAAGTATCAAACTCGTCGCGGGCGGGATCACAGGGAGAGGTCTCCCCCAATCCGTAAGGCGCATGACAACCAGAGCAGTAGAGAAAGGTGTGACGGAGGAGATGAAGACTCAGCAGCCATAAAACATGGTGTGATAAATATGATCTCTGGAGGGCTGGGTGGCGGTGGAGTAACAGTTAATTCCAGAAAGAGACACTTGAAGCAGTGCCTAGCAGTGGCAGGAAAGACCATCAGCAAAACAAGCACAGATGCAGGTCAGGCCAAACCCAAAATCGTTTGGGACTTCAACGATTTGGGCGATATCCTACCTGGCCATGACGACCCCTTGGTCATCCGAGCAATCATTGCCAATTGGAGCGTCAACCGCATATTCATGGATCATGGAAGTTCTGCTGACATTTTGTTTTTGCCTTGTCTTAAAGCTTTGGGTTTTACTGTCAATGACTTAACACCAGTGGCAGGTGAACTTGCAGGGTTTAACGACACAACCACCAAACCTTTGGGATTGATAAACTTACGATTATCTCTGGGAACGCCACCTACCTCAAAGTCAGCCGACATTCAATTCCTGGTGCTGGATACCCAATCAGCTTTCGAAGCAAGTGTGTCGCACCCGCACTTGGCAATAAAGTTTGTGGCAAGAGACAACAAGGTGGCGACGGTAAGAGGCGATCAAACGGTAGCAAGGAACTGCTACAACGTATCCATGAAACCATCACCAAAAGTCACTTTGAAAGCCCAGCTAGCACCCCATATGGCGACAACCCAGGTAACAACTGATGCCCTCACTGGAAAGGGTAACGAACTTGACCAGTGTCTTCTTGTAGAGTTTGATGCACGGGACGACCCTCGGATGGAACATTCCAGGCCCATACCAGACGGAGCTCTAGAGCACGTAGTGCTGGGCGAGAAGAACCAAACGACAACCATTGGGGCGTTCACCAACCCGGAGCTGAAAAGCAGGTTGATCAAACTCCTATGAGACAACAAGGACCTGTTCGCGTGGAAGCCATCTGACATGCCCGGCATAGACCCGGAAGTATGTTGCCACAGATTGTCAGTAGACCCCAAAGCAAAGCCCGTTTCGCAGAAGAAGAGGAAGTTTGGCCCAGATCGCCAAAGGATCATTGACGAAGAGGTAAAGAGACTCTGGGATGCCGGTTTCATCCGAGAAATTAAATATACTACGTGGCTCTCAAACCCCGTACTAGTCAAAAAACCTAGTGGGGCGTGGAGAATGTGTATTGATTACACCGACCTCAACAAGATGTGCCCAAAGGATGCCTATCCTTTCCCAAGCATTGACCAGCTCGTAGATAACTCCTCAGGATTCAAGGTGCTTTCATTCATGGATGCATACTCAGGCTATAATCAGATCCCATTGCTAAAAGAAGACCAGGACAAAACGGCGTTCGTCACACAGACTGCTAATTACTGTTACACCATGATGTCGTTCGGATTGAAAAACGCCGGTGCCACTTACCAACGAATGATGAATGAAGTTTTCAAAGACTTGATTGGTGATAGCATTGAAGTCTATATAGATGATATGATCGCTAAGTCACAAACTCCAGAACAACACTTGACACATCTCCAAGGCGTGTTCAATAGGTTGAGAAAATACAACATGCGGGCTCAACCCAAGCAAATGCGCCTTCGGAGTTCCAGCAGGGAAGTTCTTAGGCTTTATGCTGACTGAAAGAGGTATTGAAGTTAATCCTGACAAATGCAAGGCGATCATTGACATGAGAAGTCCCCAGACGGTTAAAGAAGTGCAGCAGTTGACCGGAAGGATAGTCGCACTTACTCGTTTCTTAGCAAATTCTGCCTATAAGTCCCTTCCGTTGTTTAGCCTGCTCAAGAAGGGCCGCTCTTTTCAATGGACTGATGATTGTGAGAAAGCTTTCCAAGAATTCAAAAGAGCGTTGTCATGCCCGCCTGTCTTAACAAAGCCAGACATTGGAGAGATCCTTTATTTATATCTCGCCGTTGGCGTAGAAGCCATCAGTGCCGCCTTGGTCAGAGAGCAGAACAGAGAAGCACAGAAACCAGTGTATTTCATCAGCAAAGTCCTGCAGGGCGCAGAGCTCAGGTATCAGCAGGTTGAAAAGGTTATTCTCACACTCATCTTTGCTGCGAGAAGACTTAGGCCATACTTCCAATGTCACCCAATCACGGTTAGAACCAATCAACCCATCCGCCAAGTATTACAAAAGCCTGATCTGGCGGGCCGGATGATGTCTTGGGCGATTGAACTGTCAGAATACCAAATCAATTATGAACCAAGAACAGCCATCAAAGCACAAGCCCTCACAGATTTCATTGCTGAGATGACCCATACCCCTGCAAGCGACAATCAGTTGGGGGAAACCCCGGCGACATGGAAGCTGTTCGTGGATGGATCAACCAACGCCAAAGGGTCATGAGCCGGGTTGATCGTGGAAAATCCTGATGGTGTGGCGATGGAGCATTCTTTGACCTTCGACTTCAGTACGACTAATAATCAAGCAGAATATGAGGCTTTGATAGCCGGTTTACTTCAAGCCAGAGAACTGGGAGCCCAACATCTCAAGGTTTTTAGTGACTCACAGCTGGTGACCTGTCAAATTTCCGGCGAATATCAAGCAAAAGGTCCCCTGATGTGCAAATACTTAGAAAGAGTCAAAGATATAATGGAGACATTCATGACAGTCAAGGTGGAGCACATTAGGCGGGGAGAGAACACCCGGGCCGACATACTCGCCAAATTGGCCAGTACCAAGAGTCCAGGTAATAACCGTTCGGTCATCCAGCATAACCTACAAACGCCATGCGTTGTAATGAGTATAACGGGAGAAACAGAGGAAATCGCAGCTGATACCTGGATCACTCCAATCGTTAACTACCTTTCAGAAGGTACCCTCCCGCCAGATGTGAAAGAAGCGAAGAAGATCGCCAGAAGGAGTGCTCACTTCTGCCTGATGAATGGCCGGTTATATAAAAGAGGTTTCTCAACCCCACTGTTGAAATGTTTGAACCCAGGAGACGTGGGCTATGTGTTGGAGGAAATCCACGAAGGAATTAACGGCCACCACATAGGTGGACATTCTCTAGCAAGGAAAGCGTTGAGAGCCGGATTCTACTGGCCGACCATGGGGCGAGACGCTTATAACCACGTCAAGAAGTGCGATAAGTGCCAACGTTTCGCGGACGTACATAGAGCCCCACCAGAGGAGTTGACCTCGATAACATCGCCTTGGCCTTTTCACAAATGGGGAATGGACATTCTTGGACCTTTCCCAAAAGCCACGGGGCGTATACAGTGGCTAATTGTTGCCATAGACTACTTCACCAAGTGGGTAGAAGCCGAGGCAGTCGTGACCATCACTTCTCAGAATGTCAGGAAGTTTTTTTGGAGAAACGTTGTCTATCGTTTTGGCATCCCGGGAGAGGTTATTACGGATAATGGCACCCAGTTTACCGATTCTAAGTTCAGAGAATTGATGACGAACCTTCGAATTCGGCACCACTTTGCAGCCGTGGAACATCCTCAATCTAATGGGTTAGTCGAGTCAGCTACCAAGATGCTGTCCAAAGGAATAAAAAAGAAGTTAACCTCCCATAAAGGAGTCTGGCTTGAGAACCTCCATGGCGTGTTGTAGGGATATCGGACAACTGCCCAATCCAGTACTGGAGAGACCCCTTTCCGTCTGACTTATGGTTCAGAGGCTATGATACCAGTCGAGATCGGTGAACCTTCTTGGAGAAAGGAGCAAGTAACAGAGGTAACTAACAGTCAAGGTCTCAAAGAAACACTTGACTTAAACGAAGAAATCCGAGAACGGGCAGCACAATCTGATCGCCAGTCGAAAGAAAGGTCAGCCAGCCGGTACAATAGAAGGGTCATCCTCAGGAAGTTTCAAACTTCTGACCTCGTTCTCAGGCGAGCCGACGTGGGAAACAAGAACGCTCAAGATGGAAAGCTCGCTCCGAATTGGGAAGGACCATATCGAATAGCAAAGGTTTTAGGCGGCGGGTCATACGCCTTAGAAACGTTAGGCGGGAAAGCCATTCCAAGGGCTTGGAATGCAGACAAACTCACTAAATATTATAGCTGAGTCACGATGTAACAGTCACTGCACTCTTTTCCTCTCCAAAGTTTTAGCCTATTAGTTCTTGGGCGATGAGAGGTTTTTAATGAGGCAGGTAGCTTGTGTTTAATAAATGACAGTTCGTCACCTCCCAATTCGTTTGTTATTCCACTTGTTTGTTTGAAGTTTTTAAACATAAAAGTCGCGGGACGGTCCTCACCCCCGCCCAAGAGTTGGACTGGGACGGTTCTCATCCCCATCCAACATACGAATCGCGGGGCGGTTAACACCACCCGCCCAAGAGTTGGACTGGGACGGTTCTCACCCCTATCCAACATACGAATCGCGGGACGGTCCTCACCCCCGCCCAAGAGTTGGACTGGGACGGTCCTCACCCCCAGCCAACATACAAATCGCGGGACGGTCCTCACCCCCGCCCAAGAGTTGGACTGGGACGGTCCTCACCCCCAGCCAACATACAAATCGCGGGACGGTCCTCACCCCCGCCCAAGAGTTGGACTGGGACGGTCCTCACCCCCAGCCAACATACGAATCGCGGGGCGGTTTACACCACCCGCCCAAGAGTTGGACTGGGACGGTCCTCACCCCCATCCAACATACGAATCGCGGGGCGGTTTACACCACCCGCC